CGTAGGTATTTCGTTTTAAGCTGCAGTCTTATAATAGTTTATTGCGATTTACAGCGCTGAGGAGTCTTAAGAATCAAATCAAAAGAGCGGCAAACACCAAAGTGCAATATTGTAACAGAGTTTAAGCACTAATTATTACGAGTTTCGATACGATTCGTCAACGAAGTAACCGTCAAAATAATTGAAGACATAATTATTGTCGATCGTGCCAGTGGCAGCCACGAGCCACGGTTTGCCACATATAACACGATATTATGGTATCGAATTTTATGACACAACTTAAGTACTAAAAAAAAAAAAAACTTTAAATAACGTAGTTCGATAAAAATGTAACACTCGAGGGTATTTGCATTATCGTCTGATATCTTGAGAGTCGATCTCTACATGTACTGTATAAATAAATTTGGTCGTTAGATTTTATGGCTTTTTGTGACGTTCTCCCCACAAATACCGACGAAATATAGTATTGGCTGTATAGATTATATATTATAGATGCCTATATTTTACAAGACTGTAGTACAAGAGGTATCCATAAATATATTGCATCGAATTGCTCAACTGTAGTAGGTTTAAATCGCGGGTAGGTATACATCACTATAGAATACATCAGTCGGCAATGATTGTTTTGTTTGATATGAAATACAATGTTWTAAAACGTAATATAAATTCCACATTGTCAATTTATTTTTAAACCATCATATTATTACGAGTATTATTGGAAGGTTCTCATGTATGGTACGACAACTAGCAATAATATAAAATATGAAACGTAGGTACCTACGATTTATCTTAGTTTTTCAACTATCATTGCGGATTTGTAGAACTGTTGAGTTTATTATGAGCACTGCCTTAACGTAGGTATAATATTTATCTAGGTATATGAGCCTAAATAATTACAAATTAAATGAATGTAAGTTAATACAAATCTTTGTACATTCATTTTTTTTGAAATATTTATACACTTTTATATTCGAAAACTAGGTATTGTAGAATGGTGAATGAAGAATTTTTCATTTTTAGTTCTTGCAAACGTTCGGTAAAATATTATATTATCTAATATACTTATAAAATCATTATAAAAGTTACCTCAAATTCCAAAGCTATATTTATGATCAAGTCATTCTGCAGAGTGTTTGCATTGTTTTTAATTGTTTCACGTTTCTGATAACATTGTTATCCGACGGTTTTTTCCGACGGAAAAAGTGGCTTAGGTATAAATTTCATTATACTGAGCACTTAAACATATACATATAGAAAATATAATTAGGAAATTATTAAATAGAAATTTAATTTGTATGCCTAATCAAAAAAATATTTTTAGTCTTATTTCCGTTTCTTCAAGCGTTAGTAATTATTTGAATGATATACTCCGCCGCTGCTATAGACAATATTGTATATTATGTTCCATTGGAAATGTATGACAATAATTTTCATCATTACTGCTCGAAAAAATATATTATTGACGTTTAATATTATCACAATAAATTCGTCTATAGGTATGTCTATTCTGTATTTGTAGATGATCGAAGAGCGAATCGACTATAATATAGTCGAGTGATGCCCAACGTCCGGTTCTTCAGTAGGTATATAAATTTTAATTCAATATTATCCAAAGATTCTGTTTTAATTTCATTATTATTTATTGCACCCAGTATAATAATGTTTTAATCAGAGTAACAGACCTACCTAATAAATTATATTGTAATCGTGTCTAATTATTATCATTTCAATATTCTGTTTTAAACTTTTCCAATAAATCATGGTAATATATAGGTTTTTAATCGTTATTCGTATACTGTATAGTATATATTTATTACGAGAATAAAAAAGTACTCAATACATTTATGTATGCCGAAATAATGAACAGAAGTTATCAGTGAGTATAAAATATATACACTTATGGCTTATAGTTCCAGGAATATAGCCGCGTTGTGCCGAGAATAACAAGTCCAACATTAAAAATAAATAATACTATAATAGCGTATATTATTATAAACTACACATATTAATTTAATATAACTTATATTAAGTGTATATTATACRTACATCGAAACGTTTGGAAATCAATTTTGTTTATTGATTGTCACAAGTTTTATCAAACAATGACGAGTGTTCTCACTTATTATTATAATCGTATTATTATACGTCAACAGTTATGCAGGTTTGTATTTCTTATTATATCATACGAGAATATCACCTTTAGAGAAATGTATATGTTTTGCCTGCAGTTGGAAAAACATAATA